CACTCCAGCGAGGTCGAACCCCTCCGGCGAGATCGAGGCGCCCCGTGCCCGCCCCGTGCCCGCTCCGGCCCCATGTGCCCGTACCCCTGCCCACTCCGGCGATACCAAGGCCCCGCGCCTGCCCGCTCCGGTGAGACCGAGGCCCCGCGTGCCCGCTCTGGCAAGGCGGAGCCCGCGCGTGCCCACGTCCCAGCCTACTCCGGTGAAGCCGAGGCCCTGCGTGCCCGCTCCGGCGAGGCGGAGCCCGCGTCCCAGCCTACTCCGGCGAGGACGAGGCCCTGCGTGCCCGCATCGCTGCTGTAGGCTGCTGGGGAGGAGGCAGCGGACCACGGCGCCTTGCAGGGTGGATCCGGTGGCCGGTGCCTAGATCCGGTGGCTAGTGACGAGGGAAGCTCGTAGGGCGTCGCCGCTGTGTCAAGTGAGGTGGCCGGAGCCGGCGAGGCTAGCGAAGATGGTTGCGGGCAGGTGCATGGCACGGTGGTAGCGGTCGACATGGTGGCGTGGTGGCCTGAGGATGAAGAAGAGAACGGGGAAATAAGACATGTGGCTGACAGGTTGGGCCCTGTGTCCACCTCAGCGGGTCAACACATTGACTAGGACTAGTTTTATCCACATCAGCCTGACGGACGGGTCCCGCTCTTCAGTTTTGTTGTTAGTCACGACTAACATCTGATTCAGTGCGATTTGTTATTCACTAGGCACAGAAGTGGTGGTTTTTTTTGTGATTTTTGACAAAAATGGTGGTTTTGGAGTACCTTAGCCACAAATGTGGTGGTTTTGAGCAATTTACTCCTTTGTGTGTGATAATGGGAGAAACCAGTTGATTCATTATTACTTGTCGATCATGGATGTGCATATGTGTGTTGGATGCTTAATTTGCAACTGCCCTGATGATGTGCATATGTGTGTGTCCAGTGATTGCATTTCTTTTTCCTGATAGGGCCGATCCCATTGCCAGTTCGCAACCGTGATATCACGTATAATTTCTGTGTTAAGGCCCAGCATCTTAGTCGGGAATGCACTTTGATGGTTGATTTCTAGAGGTGATATCCTTGTGTTTGATTTCGAAATTCAGAGCCTCAATTTCATTGAGAAGCCAGCATACTACAATATTACCGACGGGTGTTTTCAGCTCTTGCGTATGGAGGATGGTGGACTTGGCCTCGCAGTTTTGTTGGACCTGACCATCCAATTATGGGAGATGAAATCTAACTGTGATGGCGTTGCCGAATGGGTGTTGCTGCAGAAAACCATTCCACTGGAGGGGGTGTTTCCAAGGAGAATGCATTCTTTATTTTTCGTCGGTTACGATGAGGACACAAATATGATTGTTCTCACTACGCCGGCAGGAAATTTCAATCTCAGACTTGACTCCATGCAGATTAAACATATTGTTAAGAGAAACACCATGTGCCTCGAGACCTTTTATCCCTACACAAATTTCTTTACTGCAGGTAATACCTCCCTGTCTACATTGCACAAGCTTAATGCTAACTATGATTTTTTGCTCATAATGATATCTTCATCAGAGGGTTTCTAACAATTGGAAACCGGCAACAACTGCAGTAAGAGAATATAGTGAAACCATTTGCTATGTGAATGGTTTACCACTTGGCACATCTAGAAGCTTAAAGCTTGTTAGGTTGTCTCGTTCACTATGTTTCCTTGCAAGATTAAAAATTTATCTTGATATACTAATCATCAATTAGTTTCTTTGGTGAGTGATAATCATCAATTAGTAATACATGCACTTTAATTTTTATCCAAACGTAGTACTAATACATGCAATGCTTGTTTTGTAACTCATGTTTCCCAATCCATGCATATATTGTTTTGGCATATTGGTCAATAACTGGTATAAGTCCCACCATTTATTTTCTGGACCTGGCAATAGATGTGGCTTTGTTTACTATCCTTGCCACAAAAGCTAGTTTCCCATACTCTAGTTACATGAGTATATAGTGGTTTGCACATATGCCTTGTTCCTTGACTCAACTTCTCTTTATTTTCATTTGTTTCTGGGCTTCTTTTGCTTGTAGTCAAGGGAGTTGGGTGGAAAGGAGTGGATCTGAAACAGTGATCACACAAGATCTCTAACGTGCTATCTTGGTCGAAAAACTTAGGTAAATTTATCTTTTGGTATATATTTTTTGCTTGGCTACTTAATTTACGTAATGCTGCATTGTCTATTCATTTTTCAACTGTAAAAGGACTGTAGGAGAGGTTCCTACAGTCTTATATTAATACAACAAAATTAAAGTTACATGATATGTACAAGGTACATGGGCTTTGACCCTAACCAAAAGAGAAGATACTAATGCAAGGTTTTTAGGTAATTTGCTGCACTAGGGAGGTTATGAAATCCTCAAGCTCAGGCTTCGCTCTATATCTCAACAATGCAAAAATCTTGATTAAATCTAGACAGCCATGATCTGTGAGAGTGGGGAATTCTTTAGGAGACCATTTTGTTTTGGTATTCCCACAAAGACCAAACAGCTACAGTAAACACCTCCATGAACATGGGTCTGCCCCAGGCCTGTTTGGCAGCAGTTAACCAGTTAAATCTATCTCCATCAGGCACCCAGTTGATATTCAGAGAGGCCCAACATTGTCTGGCAAAAGGATATGAGAAAATAGATGCACAAGGGTTTCTTTAGTCTGAACTCTGAAGCTCGCAGATGATGCAGTTAACATTTTTTTCAACACCTGGTCCAGTGATGTAGTGGCATCTGCGTGGCATGTTGTGTGTGTTCAACCGATCAGACAAGAGCAAGACTTTCAGCTTCACGGTACATTTAGAATTCCAGATCCACTTGAAGGTGCAGAGAGCCTCGACATCTTTGAAGTAGAATTTGTACTATTTTTTCAGGTGTATTTGGAGCCCCAAGAATATATCCATTGGTCACTATCATCTTCGTTGAGTTACTGTGTGGCAATGTTCTGAATCTCTCGGACCTCCTCTCTGGCCTGCATTGATAAGGGTAGGTGGAAGGCCATATTCAGTGATTGAATGTCAAGGAATTCCTGTGCATTGTCTATTCTTATATTTCCAAAAAGCATACCTTTGAGTAGAGATACCAGAAGTTTTTGCTTTGTACTGTGAGCCTCTCACATGGGCTTGGTACAAAAAGAAAATTCGGATTGAGTTGACAATCTTGGAAGTTCAGTTTTTTAACCTTAGATGATAGGCGTCAAGTCACTGATCTTTTAGTTTCTAATACGATCGTACGCAGTTATATAGTAAGAATCTTTAAAATCTGACAACAAATGGGTGCCAGTACAAAGTAAATATTCTCTTTTGCTGTTCTCCGGTTGTAGTATTAGTTTGTCTAATAACACTGGATGATTCTGTTTTGGATAATTTTTTATATAATTTGACCTATGGGAAAGTCAATATTTATTTTGGGGGATCATAAAAAAATTGGCTTTACTGTCAGAGAGTATTAGCAATTTGTTTTACTGAGATGACATTGGTTGTTCTTCAGGTATTAAGGGTTCAATTCGGCATGGCTAGTTGGTGTGGGGAAGTTCTTCTATTTTAGTGCGGTCGACGCTCAAAATATCCTGCTATGTAGGATGTAGGTTCTTCGGCTATGTAGGATGTAGGTTCTTCGGCTGTGTAAGCTGTGTCATGTGAAGTGGTTGAGGTTGAGATGTCTCCTCTATGGAGTATGTAGGTTGTCCTACTTTTCTTATGTAGCATGGTCTATGAAGTGGAGCTTGTCGGATTTAGGCGTGCAGACTCTTACTCTTGTATATTCTCTAAAATCAGCAGACATCAGTCAATTTTCGTGCTTGATTAGTGACTGTGGAATTGGTTCGGCTAATGCTTTGCTCTGTGATGCGAGGTACTAGCTAGTTGGATGGACAAGAAGCAGTAGGCTCTGGCACTTTACAGAGTTTCTTTGTGAAGTCCCCTAACTGTGAGTCTTGCTAGTGATCTAATTGTGATAATGCTCTGCTCACATCACCACTTGCAGCAGAAGCAGACAATGCTTGTATCCCCTGCCCCAGTTGCCTAGTTCAACCTTCATTGTTGGGTTGCAACATGACCCTTTAGCACTTTTATATTCATTGTTGGGTCTTTCGAAAGTATCCCCTGCTTCATGCATAAACACTTTTATATTCCAGTGTCTGGATATTCGCCACTGATAAATTGTCATGGTTATTAACTTTAGTTGGATTTCTGGATTGCAAGGAAAATGCTGACAAATCAAAAAAATGTTGTCAGTTTTTGTTTGAACTTCAAAGAGTTTTTGTTTGAACTCAGAGGAGATGTTTGCCTAATTGGGTTAGACTGACTTGGCTCTTTCTTGGAGGAGACAAATCAAAAAAATGTTGTCAGTTTTTGTTTGAACTTCAAAGAGTTTTATGACTTGGCTCTTAAGCAAAAGAGTTGTGAGATTTGTTTGAACTTTATTTTACTGGAGAAACTTACTGATTTTTCCTTAAATGCTAGTCTTATTCTGGATCTGTCATAGAGATTTTCTTGTCCTCAGTTACACCGAAGATACTTTTCAGATCTTGAACTTGCCATTTCTGACACTTGTCCAATAAGTTGGCCCTCCAGGAAAAACAGAGACTGCAGCGGCCTGGCCAGAGAGCCAACCGGTGACTGCCACGGCGACGTTTTTCTTCCGGCTGCACCTTGGCCTCTGGGGCTATGTGCGTGTTATGGCCGGTTTAACTAGGTCCATCGGGCAATCTTAGCCCACAAATTATCTTAGATTAATTCTTATGCAAGTTATCTAGGTTATAAATATAGGCTGTAAGACTCTTTTTGAAATCAAGCAATAAGAAGATTATTATCTCTATTGCCCGGCTCCCAGAGGAGCCGGAACCCTAGCCGCCTTTAACCCTAGCCGCCGCCGCCATCTCCCTCTTCCGCGACGGCGCCCAACCGCCGGCGCGGCCGCTCATCGCCTCGCCCAGCTCCCTCCTTCCCCTACTGCTTACGCCCCAGGCATGGTAGGGTACAAGTTCCTACCAGTGCGCATAAGGAAAAATGCTGCCTTAGATCCTTGCTGCTGTCAAAATTAAAATGTTTGGCCGTGATGTTCAGTTTTTTAGCACAGTTTCAGTTCTATACGATTTGACCTTTTAGCCATGCCCTGCTGGCCTGTTCCATGCTCCATTTCCTTGCAGTACAGACATGACATTCACAATGTCGTAGCCTGCACTCGACCTGACCTTGTAGATTTCTTTTTTCTTGTTCATGCAGTCTTCAACAGCATACGTTGAATACCTCAATTCAGTCTCCATCGCGAAAAAAGAAAGAGAGATAGATTCACTCATAGACTACTGTGTATTGGTCAATTGGTTCATTACAACATAATACTACACAAAAATCAAAAGGCAAATTTTAGCATGGTCCCTCTTACCCCTTATTTTTACATGTGAAGTAAGAAGGTAAGAGTTAATCAAGCCACTAATTAATGAGATCAACGGATTAGATCTATTTTATACTCTTACCTCTCATGTGAAAAGAGGAGGTAAGAGGGACCATGCTAAAACTGCTCAAATCAAAAATTTAAGTAAAGTAGTTGAAACTCTGTACTGGTTAAGTAGTTTGTGAATCTTGCTGTGTTGGTGGTAGATCAATTGGAAGAAGCATAATAACATGCTTGGCATATAAAGAATACTTTCTTCACGGATAATCTCTTGTTGGCCAAGATGACTGCTTACAGGAACATCAATGATGTCTCGATCAACTGGATGTGTTGCACTCCAATTAGCGATTTTCTTTAGGACACTTTTTCTATCCAGACTGCTGTTTACCATATTAACAGGAACATCAATGGAATAGCTCATGATTGTGCTCATCAGGTTCTCAACTCAAGAGTAGACTCTGTCCTTAGCTGTACTCATTCCTCTGAAAGCAATTCTCTTTGCCCAACTTTGCTTTATCTTCATAACTTTCAACTCCAGGGATATGTAATACACGTTGTACTATGCTTTTGAGATGAATGATATTTTGGCGCTTGGCGCCTTCTTGTGTTAAAAAAATAAAAATGAATGAAGAAACTAAAAAATAGTTCCTAAAGTCAAGTT